AGCGAATATTTATAGAAGGCCCTCTCTAGTTTTAATTTCTTTGAATTTCGAATTTTTGATTGAGAATCATTTACGATAGTGTAGTATATCTTTATTGTTTCCGAATAATTAACGAACTAGTACAACACCCGTGTATTACACGGGTGCTTGTTAAAAGATTATTCTTAAATTTTAAAATTAATGAGAAAAATTATTTTAAATTTTATTTATTTTTTTACAAAAAATATATATTATTATAAATTTTAGAATGACACTTGTTACTTGTAGGACTTACATGTGTTATATTATAGTAATTTTTATTATTTCTCAATAAAAGACTTGAATTTTATTATTTCTCAATAAAAGACTTTAGGTACTCTCAAATTAAAAGCACACTTTTTAGTTAACTTCACATTGTAAGACCCACCTAACTTTATTTTTTGACATAAATATTTGAACCAATTAACTTTATTTTAAAATTTATATTTTACATACTTATAATAAAAAACAATAAATGTCTTTAATAAAATTTTCTGAATAAGAAACGAAACTATACAAATTATATCCATACAAAAATTTAAGAATGATTAAGTGAGTTTGAAAAATATGCGATGGAAATATTATATAATCTACAAAAATATATCATTTTTAGCTAACAATGGTATGGTATAATTTTTGCGTCAAAAAAGAATAATTAAAATCCAAAAAAGATAAGATGAAGGCAACATTTTTAAATATTATTTTTTATTTTTTTACATATTTATATTATTAATAAAAATAATATTTCCATTGCATATTTTCTGAATTATTAATTTTTAAAAATAATCATTATTAAAATTTTTATATCACTATAATTTATATAGTTTCATTTTCTTATTAATGTGATTTGATTAAAGATATTTATTATCGTTTAATATAAGTATGTAAAATATAAATTACAGGAAAAATAATAATATTTTTGTTCACATAGTAGTTAGTTCACATATTTATGTAAAAAACGTAAAGTTAGTTGGGCCTTGCAACGAGAAGTTAACTAAAAAAATAAGCCTTAAATTCAAAATAACCTAAAATGTAAAACTTCTATTGAAAAGAATAAAATTAAGGCCTTAAATTGATACAATTACAAAAAAGTTAGGTCTTTCTCATAATATTTCCCATTAATATAGTGGCATAAACGAATGTCTTTACCTTTTTGGTTTTCATTAGGAAGTCATGAGAAGCATGTCNAAATATTAAATTGAATTACCACACCTCGAAGTACAAACTGGTAATCAACAGATTACACTTCACAACCTTTACTAACCTAGACTAGAAAGGAAACCAAACAGGAGAAAACACGACAAGTGTTTCCCTATACTACCCTGCACGGCAAGAAAAGACAAGACCTATAACACACTGACACCTATGAGACTACAAAACTCCACAAGACCGACGAAAAGGGAGATAAAAGACCAAAAACACCCCAATACACGCACAAAACACTATCAAAAAATACAAAACATATTGATATGGTTTACATACCTAAGGGAGTAAACCGGTCGACTAGGTCGAGCGAGCCGTTCAGTCGAGCAGAATCACAGCAGAGTCGATGGTGGTTGAATGTCACCAATTTAGGACAAAGAGCCTTCGGCCTGGAAGACAACATAAGGGGTACATGGTAGCAGGTCGAGCTAGGGCCCTCGGATGGCCTGATAGAAACTCGACGTGTAGGCACGGCTAGTCATGTGATCGACCAGAAGGAACGACACTTGGTCAAGGACAACCAACATTATATCTCGGCAGACCTCGAGAGAATCGCACTATTAAGGGGTCCAATATGAAGGATTAAGGGATAAGAAGGAATCTTTCCATAATTAGTTCTACTCGTGGCAATACCTGATTGGTCCGCACTCCACAACCACTTCCGATAGTGGACAATGCGGCTTGTACTATCAGGCAGCCAGCTTACCACATCAAGGCAACCTTCTAGAAGCAAGTACCTCACCCCTATAAATAGGGGTGAGATATGCGCTTTTACGGCATTACGTTCATGTTCTCTATACTTTCTGCACTTTATCTTCTTCTACAAATGCTCATGTAAGCATTGGAGGCTCTTTACTGGAAAACCCCTCTGGTGTGAGAGTTTTTGCAGGTCTATAGGCGTTCAACCAGTGGAGGAACTCAAAATCAGGCGGATTCCAGCTGGTAGGAGATTTTTTTACGTACCGTTTCGCGCCGTCTGTGGAATTTAGATCGAAAATCTTGTGTTCACCATATCCATGGCGGACGAAATGTTAGTGTTATATACTAGAAGCTTGGCTTTGGATGATATTACACTTTTTTCCTTTATGAATGAGAATCATGTTCGATAAAACAAGTTCTATGTTCTGTTCATGTTTAGCACTTAGATAGAAAGGTCATCATTGGGTGAACAGAAGATCATTCTATCAGTCACTTGCGAAACAAGAATTTATGGTTCACAACCTAGATGGAAATGAACACCCCATCAGAACGGTTCTAGTGTCAACAGTACAGTTGGTCTGGACCAATTAGTTGCACTAGTACATTCATGTATTGAACGGATCCCAGAGAGGAGAAGTTCGTTTTTTACCAATCATCGTAAACGAACTAGGCCTCGGTTAATTACTGCGTTCTCTTATCCCGTAAGATATTAAACAGACATGTGCATGCAATATTTATTACTTTGATTCACTTGGGTGAGATTCAGTTCGCTGGATCAATAGTCTTACTGTCTTGGGTAATATTGTTGTATGTATGATGTGCTGTTAGGATATTTACGGTCACCATATGCGTGATGTCTCCGAAGTGAGTTCATGAAGGATTGTATGCTAAACCCCGCAGGTGGATTAAGTTTCGGCATAATAATAATGCAATGAACGAGTGCTAGCTTTGGTAATATAATATATTAATTAGTTCTTGATTATCAGTAATCGAATTAATGAATGGACTTTATATCTTAAACATGGGGAGGTAATTCGGGTAATTATAATTGGAGTCTCAAATGTAATTTAGGATAAGAAAAGGGAGTGCAATAATATTACGTTAGTAGATTGTAATATTATTTAAGTAATTGGAAGAGTGGGCCTGGCCTACAGTTAGTCCATTACTTAAGAAGCCTTAATCCTGTTCTCCTTAGGATCCATACTGTAGCCATATATGCACATCATTAAGCTCATGGAATAGACCCAGAAGAGATTAGAACTTTCCTAACGTGTAATATACACGTCGTCTTCTCTCTCTAGAATTCATTCGAGCTTTATCTTCTTCTTGTTGTTCCACCGATATGAGTTGAAGAGATGTTTGAGTAATACAATAGAAGATCCCAAGGTAACTAAGATATCGTGATCATCTACTGGAGCCAACACCGTGACCCGTCGGACCGCCGCCGACGTGCCACGACCCGCCGGATGACCGCCGCGACGTCTCGACGTCGATCGCGACCAGCCGACGGCAGCCCTGACTCGCGATGAACTGCCGACGTGCTGCTCCCAGTCATCTCATCTGATCTAACCCGTCAGATTCAGAATATTTTAAGACGTAAGTTTTCTACGTCAAACATTTAGATCCGTTACGCATAGGTTTACATTTGCTATTGAATTCTTAACTTCTACATAACGAGATCCTCATAGATCCCAACAAGTGGTATCAACGCACTTGGTTAATTCGTTTTGTACAAATTTTGAATTTTTACGACTTTATTTGACAAGATATGTTCAAACGCAGCCATACATAACTCAATTTTGCAGGAATTAGTTTAATCCACTATTATGGCCGTATATGTGTTTGATGAATGTTGTTGAATGTGATGAATGGTTTTAATTTGTTTTTAAAGCCTCGAACATGTCGAGGAATTTAATGGATGAATGTTTGTAATAATTATTCGCCGGTGGGACACCAGATAGATTTAATTATTTTTGTGTAGGGAACATGTACATCCATTTGTTGGATCTAAGATCGAATCATGTAATTTTGTAAATTATATTTTTTGTATTGTGATCGTGTATTTATGACCAGGAGATCATAAGGATCAACGAACCTCGATGACTCGACCAGAATCGGGCCAAGTCGACGCTAGCCAGCCACCGCGGTAGCCCGTGCGGCTCAGCAGCTTGCTGCCGGGTGCTGCGAGACGGGCAGACCGGCGAATGGCGTCGCACAGGTTGACGAGGTTCGCGGCGATTCTGATCAGGAGCCCTGCAGCGCACTCCGGGAGCCGCTATGATCGACCAGCGATGGTGGCGGAAGAAGCCCGGCAGACGCGCGCGACGAGCGAAGCAAAAAAAATTATGGCGAAGTTTTCCACCAGCGGCCGGCGGCGGGGCAGCGGCGGCAGTCCTACGAGCCTATTGTGTGCTGGTGGTTTTCTTGTTGGACAAGGAGT